CACCAATGCCTCCGGTACCTGTAAGCTCAAGTTATCGGTGATCCACACAGCACGCAAGCCGCACGCCTACAAGAGCATGGACATGACCAAGCTAAATGTCCACTGGCTGACCGCACGTAAGGCGTGGATGTTCTCTACTCTGCCCCTCTCCTGGTTTGATGACTGTTTCGTTCCTGACGTGAAGAAATTCTGTGAGCAACACAGTGTTCCATTCAAGATTTTGTTGCTGCATGACAATGCACCAGGACACTCGCCCCTACTGTTAGATCGTCACCCCAACGTAAAAGTGGTCTTCCTTCCTCCCAACACTACGTCATTAATACAGCCCATGGACCAAGAATTGATCTGTAATGTGAAAGCTGTATTCTCTGCAAAGAAATTTAAGCTCCTGAACGACTGTACCAACACCAAGGATGAGTTGCGTAACCTGGGTGACACCGATAGCAAGAGCGAAGACGACGAGGAACAACAGTTGGCAGAGCAAGGAGTACTTGTGAAACAATTTTGGAGAAAATTCAACGTCAAGAAAGCTGTGGGCTTCTTGGTGGAGGCATGGGATCAGCTGTCTGTAGCAACTGTTCGTCACGCATGGAGACATGTGTTGCAAGGTATTCCAGGTGGGAGGCAGAGTAAATCTGTGACTGGTGAGGTTCAGACTGTTGCAGTAGCAGTGGACCTTGCCAGAGAAGCTGCGCAGAGTGTTAAAGCTGCAGGCTTCTCCGAGACCACCAACGACGACATCCTGGAGGTGATAAGGGATCCTGATGTGACTGCCGACGAGATGGTAGATGATGATGACGTCAGTGAAGAGGCAGGTGGTGCGTCATCCCAAGAAGAACGCAAGTTATCGCATAGTAATGTAAGGGTTGCCATCGAGTGTGTTGAGAAACTCAAGCTCCTCCTTTCCGACGACCCTGACGATAACCGGTATGAAGTCTTCACTACCCAGCTGTTGCAGACTATGGAGCCCTACATCAAGGTGTATCACGACAACATCAACACCAGCCGTCAGCAAAGCATTACCGAGTTCTTTGCCCGCAACCCACCACAGCCAGCCCAAGCCAATGATAGTGACAGAGACAGTGATGGTGACTTTGAGGGATTTGTCAGGGAGGCACTAATAAGTGTGGATGACAGTGATGAAGACTCACCTGAGGGCCAGTAGCCTGCCCTCTGCCTCGGAACCAGCCTCCATTCCTGTACGCCGACTCATCTCTTCTACTAACGTAAGTGTTAACCCTAACCTTGTTTTTTTCTAACCTAACTTACAGTATATTATTCTCTTATTGATTGTTCCCTTCTATATTATGTGTGTGTGAATACCATCATAAAGTTAAGATGTTATTTTTACTAAAACGTACGTATTGTGTCGGGAAAAAGTGGAGTTTGGGGGGTCGGCCCGGTCTCTATTTCAATTAATCCCATATGTTATGTTGTTCACTTTACGCGTTTCTCGCTTTACGAGGGTCGCCGTGGGTTCAATTGACCGCGTAAAGTGAGGGTTCACTGTATATTCATTTTTTTACATTAATGTTACTACAGCTACATCCAGGGTCTTATTTTCTTAATTTTCTCACGTAGAACTATCATCCCGGACTCCCGGCTGTAAACACTAACGAAAACAATGGCATCCCATCTCCTCTTGTGTGACCATATTATTATTCATTTATATTGTATAAGGTGCATTCAGAAACATTATTTAAAGAATATAGTTTGCAATTTTCATTAATTGTATTGTTTTGAGGGTAAAAAGTCACACCAAAGATTTGAAAAGGTTACACTGGGGATCGCATCTCATTATTATTGCTTTATTTTAATGGTAATTAATGATTTGCGATACGATGATTCACCTCACTGCAATATTGGAAGACACATTACCGTCGTTATTCGAGGCTTTATTGTACACTTGATACATTATGGTTTAATGGAATGTACAGTACAGTACTGTATATGCAGTACAGTCAACCCTCGTTAATTCGGACTAATAGGGGAGGAAGGGTGTCCGAATTAACTGATTTAGGGGTTAATATTGCCTTATATTTCAAAGTCATTGTTTTCGTCACGATTTTATCCCACTTTCCACTGTAATACGTACGTAATTTCAGCAAAAATATTACATTTCCGTGATTGTATTATATCAAGCACAGTATGAATAGAATACCATTGTAATATAACAGTATTTTAACCAAAAACTATTAAAAAAACGAGTAACTTCTCTTGAACATCGGAAGGTTAGGTAAAATCTTTCGTTTTCGTCATGTATTTTATCCTATTTTACATTAAAATACATCACGTTTCAGCAAAACTACTATCTTTTTCCGAGAATATATTCATTCAGGCGCAGTTTAGGTAAAATATACGTGTGATGTAACAGTTTTTTAACTGAAAACGATTCGAAAAACACGTACCCTCTAGCCCTGTTCAAGGAGAGGACTGGGAGAAGCTGTTTGGTGCTGCAGACGATGACAAGGAAAATGATTTGGATGGATTTTAATGAAAATATTCAGAAATATGGTATCGTAGTATTTATTCAAGTCAATTAGGATAGAATATTATTGTAATACAACAGTTTTTTAACTGAAAACCAATCGAAAAGCGATTACGGTAACATCTTTTGAACGAAAGAAAGCGAAAGTCATTGTTTTCGTCACGATTTTATCCCACTTTCCACTGTAATACGTACGTCATTTCAGCAAAAATATTACATTTCCGTGAATGCATTATATCAAGCACAGTATGAATAGAATACCATTGTAATATAACAGTATTTTAACCAAAAACTATTAAAAAAACGAGTAACTTCTCTTGAACATCGGAAGGTTAGGTAAAATCTTTTGTTTTCGTCATGTATTTTATCCTATTTTACATTAAAATACATCACGTTTCAGCAAAACTACTATTTATTTCCGAGAATATATTCATTCAGGCACAGTTAAGGTAAAATATACATGTGATGTAACAGTTTTTTAACTGAAAACGATTCGAAAAACACGTGTACCGTCTAGCTGATACTCAACAGCTGGTGGTGCGTCATGCGTCGTTGTAAACAATAGGAGGTTGAAGTAGATTACCGGGTATTATATTAAGTGTGAAATATCGAAAAGGTTTTTATTACTGGTATTTTTTGTAGATCAATGAGAACTGTGATACCGTATATGATATGATAAGTTAGCCTGTGCTAAGAACTTCAACATAGACTACTGAAAACACGTTGTAAGGTAATTTAGCCTATTGTAAGTTGGTGAGCTTCATTTGCTGAAGGAACTGCACAACTTTTCATTACTAATTGGTACATATTTTACATTTCCATTGTTTACTGGCAGTAAATGGTAAATATTTTTCATGTCTGAAGCTAAAAGTTGCATCCCCCCCCACACTAGTGGTGATGTTACATTTAACCAAAAAGATGCTGGTGTTTTATCCCAGCAGTGGGTGGACCAGCATTTTAGCTTAAGGTCCGCGTAGGTAATATTCCTACAAATCTTAAAAAAAAAAAAAAAAGTTCGTTCAGATTTTGTCCGAATTATCCGAAATCCGATTAAAGGGGTCCGAATTAACGAGGGTCGACTGTACATAAATTGTATTGTGAAATCTTTGATTTATTATTGACTTTAAATTATGTTTTTATTTAATTTGTTAGGTGAGTATCTCCTTGACCAGTACAACCTGCAGTGTTATCGTTGGATCCTGATCATGGTTGCATGAAACAACTTTACTTTTTTTTATTTGGCAATTGAATTTGTTATTGGATGCAATAATACCTATTTTAGTAACTGATGTTATAATTCTACCCATATGCTTTTGTTCAGATCCTTGTGGTCAATTAGTGAAACCTTTGTAAATAAAATATGAACTTAAAACTTAACATCCCATGCACATCTAATGTCTGTTGTAGGCAGAGAATTACAGTAATTGGCTGCTTCTCCAGTTCATTTTCACTTTTTATACCTAAACAGGAAAATGTTTAGCCAAGGCAAAACAGTTAATTATTTTATGTTAAGTAGTAGATAAGGGAATTCCTTTTATAATGAGAGTTTTGTAATACAGTACAGTATTTAGGTTTGAAATTTGATAGCTGTTATCAGATTTGAGGAGTGATGCCTCTGTAATCTCATGTAACATACAGTTGTTTCTCTTTTTTTTCCTTTCATTGCTGTTTTATCAAGCAAATTGTTTTATGACATTCTTTGACTCCAACTTTACAGAATGTATATTATTCAACATGGTTTTATATGCATTTGCCAATGTTAAAATATGAATATTAGAACCAGAAAATATTTCTTTTGCAGACTGTCATGAATAAGTTGAGTGTTTTATTTTTTAAGCTACTAATAATTTTCCCTCTTTTACTAGCTGTCTTTAAGTGATTATGTTGAATGCACAAACATTATGAAGATGACAAATGATTGTGATATGGCTAATGGATTGGTTTGCTTGGTGGAAAAGCTACATTTTGTCATCATTAAAGCCCAGCCTTAAATTTTATTTTAGCAAAAACAGGGTGTCCTCAGCATGAAAGAAAAAATTAATTGTATGAATACCAAATTTGGTAAAAAAATCTTGTATCTAAGTTGGATCTGCTTGTCAGAGTATTGCTAGACCACATACTGTTGTACAAACCTTTGTGGTCAACACACTGTACTTATAGTCCCCAGTACTTCCAGAGGCTATTCCTCACTACTTGGAGAGACTAAAAGAAAATCCTTTCACTTTCCCCCAGAATCTAAAAAAAATTGCAGTTCATTCTGAAGCTTACATATCAAACTTGATTTTTTATTTCCATGCAGCCCATTATGAGCATTTTTAACACCCTCATATCTGTGGGGACACTTCACAGACTCAGAATACTCACCCCAGAACACCTTTTGGTCATGCCTTTATTATCTCTGGTGACCTTCTTGATCAGCACTTTATTTTGTCCTTGAAACATTGTGGTGATATTCAGGTTTAGGTGCATAAGGCTCATTATGCAGATGTGATCCTTTTTTTCTTTCATGCAGCCTACAGGGGACCATAGCAGTTGCCAGGTGCACTTTCCATTTGTTTGCTTGTGTCCCAGCTTGGCCATTCTGTTCAGTGCCATTTCATCATGTCTGGCTATTTGATCAGAAGCCATTTGTAATGATGGCTCTTCTGTTTGGAGGTCAAGTCATTATGTCTGGACTTCTAGTTATTATTTTTTTAAATTTTATTTACTTTTTCGTTAGAAACAAAACAGGGCTTTCTGAATATTTTTTTTTATGTAAACATAAGTTCATTGATTCAGAATTTGTCCAAAGAAACAAGAGTAATAATATTTTAGTTAGATGTATACTGTACAGTATTTACATTGTATGATTTTGAAGTCATTCCACACAATTGTCTGTATTAATGTATTTTGGTCACTACTTCTCTGTAATGTTCTCTCATTTGGCATACTCTTCTCATTGTCTCTTTATTCAAGTTATGATAACCTTTATGTATGATTACAAACAAGCACTTTATGTATTTTATACTTGTACCTTTAGTTGTTTTATATTAACCACTTTTTCCCACCAAGTCAAATTATCTGAACACTATTCTTGTACATAAACACTTCATTGTATGACACTATATTATGTTTCATTTTTGGCTTCATGTTTCACCTACAGTTGCATCCAGTTTAAGTACTAGTTTAAAGTACTAATAGCCTTAACAGTAGAAAGCCTTGTGATGTTTCAAGAAAACAAATTATCTGTGCACATTCTGCTTCTTATACTCCTTAGCACGTTTTGCTTTTTCACAATTAGTCTTTGATGTACCTTGGAGGAAAATCTAATCTCTCTTGTATTATTGTTAAGAGTTGATTTATTTTCCCATTATTTACAAATTATTGGGGTGAGAGGTTGTCATGTCCTTACTAGTGGTAGTAGGCTATACAAGTTTCTATGTTGTGCATACATTATGTGTTCCTCTTAGATACTGAGTGCTTTCATGTTCACAGGAAGAGGGAGAAGTGTGACGTGTGTGCCAAAATAATATTTAGTCTAGATGGTGAATGTACTGTATTGACACCAGTCGTGCATGTTCTGTCAAAATTTAAAACTCAGGGGATGGTACGCTAATCAATAAGTTCAGTATGTAAACATTGAAATTGTTCCTTTTATTTACATCTTACGTACAGTACTTGATTTCATCCATGTTAAGGGAGAAATGCAGGAATTTGATGTTTGCTTCGTCCAAAAGGTAAAAGGATATTTTTTTGTGTGTGTGTGTGTGTGTGCATTAAGGCCTCGATTAATCATATAGTTCTGTCCTAACTGAAGCTCCAAAATGATCTTATGAGCTGGAACACTTTGGTCAGAACATGAATATTTGGTGTCCAATTAGTTGAAAGAAACTGGCACAGAATCTATAAGTAATTGGTAAAGAACCGCATTTGCTGTAAATTTATTCAGATACAATTTTTTTCAGAGTAGGATGTGTTTTTTTTTTTTTGTGTTGACAAGAGTAGTGATAGAATGTGCTCAACATTCACAATTGTGTGTCTGCACTTGGCTGTTTGTGTCAATTTTTAAAACCCTTTACAGGTACTCCCCGACTTATGACTTACTCGACTTACGTCCACCTGCACTTACGACCTGCCTCAGTCGTACCAAAATTTGGTCAAATTATGTATTTTTGAGTCCCAAAGTCAGTACACAGACAAAATTTTCATCTGTAATTCACTTTAAAATGGCTGGCAAGCTTAAAAGTGAGAGTTTTGTGGTGCTGAGAAGAAAAAGAGAGACCCATTTTCGATTTTCTGTGTTATTTAAGCATTTCCAACGTACGACCATTTCGACTTACGACCTGGATGTCGGTCCCTAACCCTGTCGTAAGTCGGGGAGTACCTGTATACAGTTTAATGAAAATCTTTAAATTCTTGTAATGTATTTAAAATTTTATTTGCATTATTTATATATTTCTTTCAACAGAAAATACAGTAATGATAATACAACTCAGTTGCTTTCATTATCCAGTTTAAAAAAAGAATTGGTATACTCTGGTATTAAGAATTAAACTTTTAGTACGACCTATACAAATAGTTAGAAATTCTAGAATTTTTTTAATTCTTGTTGGCTTTAAGCAGCAATTCAAGGTTGAATTTTGTTTTGTGTTTTTATTTCAGTCATTTTTAGTGTCTCATGCTGATGAGATATATAGTTCAGTTCACTTTTGTGTATTTAATTATATATATGTTCATATTTATTGTCAAATCTGATCCTCAGGGCATGCCTGATTCCTGGACAAAGCTGCTCTCCATCTCCAACATCAGCAAACAGGAGCAGAAGAATAATCCTCAGGCAGTGCTCGACGTACTCAACTATTATGATGCCTCCACCAAAGAACACCAAACATCAAAGTTCATGACTGTCACAAAGTCTGTTGGTAAGGAAGTTGTTAATCACTGTTGTTAAGAATACTTTAGACCAGTGGTTCTTAACCTTGGGGGTAAAGAGCCTTACCTAGGTGTAGAAATAATTTTATAGTATACGTACAGTAGTTTAAAAACAAGCTAAACTTAGCTGTGGGTAAAATACTGATTTTTAAATTATTTAATGCTCACTGTTTTCTTTAATGCTCCTGTCCTGAATACAAGTGACCGAAGATACAATCATGAGATGTCAACTATCAGGTAACCTCAAGCATCTTACTTAGTGTCTCCTAGTGTGAAACCTTGTGGTGTTATAAGGTCAGGTCAGGTTAGGTTAAGGTTAAGGTTAAGTTTTTGTTAATGTTAGGTTAGGCTAGGCTAGTCTAGGCTTAGGCTAGGTTAGGGTGTGTCTTCTTTATGAAAAAATGTGGGGCAGCAAAATAAACTACTAGTTTACAAAGTAAAGGTACCGGGTATGTTAACAGTTACGTACAACCTCTTCCACTTCCAACTGTTACAATCAGCATTGTCAATACACCTTCTGTGTGTGGTGTGAACCTCAGGAGTATCAACTCCAGAATCTGAAGTATTCACGGAAGAGGGAGGAGTGGGGCCAGTGTGAGTGAGGGTGACGGTGTAATGAGGGGGGTGAGAGTTAAGCAGTTACCTCTACAGTTGCAACTCAGGATATATTAAGCTTGGATATAAATACGTAGGACAAAACAAAAAAGTATGAGTAGAATGTATTACAACACATTAGGGTGGTATTCCCAGTTTGTGCTACAAGTCTGAACCATTTCTGCATATTTACTGTCCAGAATTTACAAGATCATTGGTTACTGTGATAACACGACAATCTCCCCCCCCCCCCTCTCAAGTCACACACACATACATCAGTTATGCAGTATTCCTCCATGTCCTTCCCTCCTCCTGCTGAAACCTAAGAAACTGTCACTTACTCCAGGGGCAATAGGGGGATGGGCTGGGGCCTCTACATGGTGTCTGTTTATGACGAGGTTGCATTTATGACCCAATGAATGCATGCATGATAATTTAATTACAAAAGCATCGTCAAAGTAATAGTGTAATGAACAATAAAAACATACCCAGAAGTTGTCAAACACAATTATTTTTAATAAAAGTACCATGTAAACTTAACACACTATCATCATGTACACTTGTTACCACATTTATCACCATATAAACTTGTTACAGACCCATCACCAAGACCGAGTTATCAGGGAGGTGGTGTTAATATTCCTGCTTATCCAGCAACTCCTTCACCACACAAAATATCAGATGCTTCATCCGGGTCTCCATCCACTCCTGAAACTTGCTCTGAAGTTAGCGTGAGTTTAATTATAATGGTTACTATTGTTCCCCATGAATTTATGATGATTCTTTAAATTTGGAATAATGTCTCAATGGTTATCTTAAATTGCCTAATTGAACTTTGCACATTTACTGGTCAGTCACAGCAGAATTATAACTGGTCTGCTTTCTAGGCTAAGCATATAAAGTCTCACTATACAGTAGTAGAAAATTATATTTGTAGCATTTTGTAAATAAATTATTGTAGTTTATGCCAATTGAGTTTGTAGTTTTACAGCTTAAATGGTTTCAGTAATTCCATTGTCTTCTTTTTCACCTTATCTCAGCCTGATAATCTGTATGTCTTTTTCAACCACATCCTTCCACCTTATCTCTCTCTCATTATCTCATCCCTCCAAGTGGCTTATTCCAAGTTATTTAGAGTGCTTCCCCTCCCCTTGTCATACCAGATGAGCTGCCCATCTCTCTATACCTTGTGGTATTAATAGTTGTTGTCTTTGTGGTTTATTAAGTAAATTTAATCTTAGAGGCATAATTGTCAAATTTTATATGACAATTATTTCACATTTTTATATTTACTTTGAATATTATTTTTCAATTTATATTCAGTACTGTACCAGCTCATGTGTTAAATTTTCAGGTTCCTGAAGAGGAAGAAGAGGAACCGCCACCTCCTCCTATAGCAACAAGACCAGAACGTACAAAGTCAATATACACCAAACCTGTTGAAGACGAGGCCAATGCAAATGGAGCTGCATTAGACAGCAATCGCAACCCACAAGCTACAAACATTACCCCTACCCCTGTTCCCACACCAGCACCTGCGCCTCCAACCACTACAAACACAAGGTGGGAATACAGTATCATCTTATCAAATTTATATTAGTACCTCTTCTTTTGTTAAGCTTCATATATTTTAGTTTTATTTAAGTACAGTAGAACCTCCATATACCGGAATTCACTTTTTTTGACACTCTTAGGTGCTCCAGACTGCACCTCTATTCACTAGAAATATTATAAAAGTCTCGAAAATCCAGCTCAGTCTGGACAGTTTGTGTTCGTACATGCAGTTAAATGTCTGTGCTTGGGAGTCGTGTGGCCCCTTGTCTCAGTCTGAGTCCTGCCTTCATATGTATCGATCAGTTTGCCACACTTCAATACCTACACTCAATTATATGTGAAATTTTTATGAAGAGTATGTATTGTCTTTAATGGGGATATTTAGGGTTTTAAGAAATGGGTAAAATAATGTAGGGTACAGTACACTGCCCCTAGCTTAACACGGGTATTGCGTTCCCAGAAAACGCTGTATAGAGCCAACCCATTATGACATGGGGAGATAGGAGATGCGTCAGGTGGACCCCAAAAAGTCCCCTCCCCCCACCCCCAAAAACACTCCAAATCCAAAGTTCAATGACATCGTATAGCTCTAAAGTAGCTTACTAATGCACATACAATAAGTACATCTACCAAATTCATTTAAACATGATTTTGTGGAGGCACTGACATGTCCATGAAATCAGTTAATGAAAGTTTAATACTGCAGCCATTTGCAGGGGTTGGTTAAGTCACGCGTGGCCTCCCTCAAGCCTCACCATAGTAATCCTGCCCAGCTGGGGACTCTTCTCCTCCCGACCCTTAGCAACGCTCCGCTTCCTGTTGATGCACAAAGCTTTAGTTGTTGAAGAATTTCTAATTTACTCTAGGGCAAATGTGGTCATACTCCTCTGTGCTTGGAATGTTTAAGTGAAGCCATGATGAAGAAAGCAGGTGAAAAAACTTAAGTTTTTGGTTGTGGACGGACCGAGCGCTAACTAAACTGTGCCCAAGTGGCAGGGGAATGCAACCCATTGATGACTGTAATGGACTCGACCGTTGGCTCGTGCAAAATGTTTTCCATCTGATCATGTTCGGCGGAATTTCCTGTTTTATCCTGGCTCAACCTGCGTTCAAACAAATCTTAGCTCTGTATTAAGCAATACCTGTACCGGGAAGTACTAAAAAAACGTGTTTGAGTGAATTTACATTGAACAAACCCGATGAAAATCGGAAAATTACGAAATTATTCAGAAAAATTCCTGAGGAAAGCTGTTGCCTATGTAGCTATGCATGACTGTTCTACTCCCCCCTTAATTTAGAGGGGCCCTCTGTTAATGTTTGAAAAGCTGTTGAAAAGCACTTACCGTATAATATTTTGGTGTAAAGTAATACCAATCACTTGGTAAAAAGAAGTATCTGACGCCTTTCTCAGCTAGCTAACCAGAGTAACCATAGGACGAGAGTCGGTTACCCATCATACATGCAAGAGCGAGGTACTATCGTGAGTCGCTCTCACGCCACTTTTATCGGCCCGTACCTCAAAACTAGTTTTTCTAACCTTCTAATTCCCAAGGCTCGGCCATTTATGGGCTGATTCTAATAAAACAAAAACTAAGTAGTAGAATAACATATTGTGCATGGTTGAACATATAGATTTTTTTATATTTGGCTTGGTTTATTGTTTGCTTACAGTCAGTTCTGCTATAACGCGATAGTTGTGTTATTGTAAAACATCGTGTTATAGAAATTCGCGTAATAGAAATAACAGGGCTTATGGAGAAAATAGGGTTAGGTGCAGATTACTACTCGAAATCGAAAAAAATTTAGTAGTTAGCCTAACACAAAGGTTAGCACAGTCTAAATAAATGTTACATTCATATCTAATAATGAAATCATACAGTAAATGTAACACTTTACCTTGAAAAAATATGAATATAACTTGATGGGGAAGAAGAGTGATTTTGAGGTTGATAACATCGAGCTTCTCTTCAAGTGTTATAGCCTTTCTTTTACGATCATCACCGGCAATGCGATCACCAGAACGCTTCTTGGAGATATTCTTCGTTACCATATTCACAGTTAATACCACTAAATTGGAGAAATAGTAAGCAAAAATCGCGTTACAGCAAACAAGCATTCGCGTTATACAAATATCGTTCCTCTATTCGTAAATCGCGTTAGAGCCAATTCGCGTTGTCAAAACACGCGTTATAGCAGACCTCACTGTATTTATCTTTGTAAATATTTGGAGGAAAAAATGGTAAGTTAGGACAAAAATTCATGCACCCAATACGAAAGCGATAATCAGAAATATCTATGTCACATTCAAGAAGAATGAATTACCTATATTTCACATGAATTTCAATGAAATTTAGCAAGAAGTTATGGAGAAGTAGAATATTGAAAATTGTTAAGAATATTAGGGAAAAATCATATATCAGGGATTAGGCAGAACCGATTCAGGGGTATAGTAACAATGTATCTGGTATCCTTAATTGCTGACAGGATATTGAAATTGATTGATCAATTATTGACGAATTTCGTGCTTAGCCGGATGCTTACCTTAAGCTAGAGGGCAGTTTATGTATTTTAAGAAATATGTAAAGCTATCATAAAGACAAAGAACAAATAAAGGAACATGTAAAAAAATCAGCACTTATGAAATCAGTGATGAGAACAGCAAAGGAGTGGCATTATCAGTGAAATGAAGTAATTGTTGATAATTTCGATGCCTGATCAAAGCAGTAAAGGATAGGCTTTCCTTATTGTTTGAAGGGAATGCAGTTAAAGATTGAAAGCTCATACTGCTTTTAGTTTATCACTAGTGATCGCGGGCCCTTCGTGCCCGGTGAAAGTTTGAACGCTTGTGCTTGGCTAGCGTACAGCGAATGAGGGTGCGCCAAGTTCGTAGACTTGCATCGTTTTCCATCGTAAATACAGTAAAATGGTTAATTAATCCCTTCCTAAAGAAACCATCGACATGGGACAAGGTTTGTTCCACTCTACGAATTTTTTGCAATTTTTCCACCAAGTTTGATGAAAAACGATTGTGCCGTTTCGGCTGCCCAGGACAGACAGACAGAGCCACGGCTATTCCTATAGTATATTAGGTTCAGAGAACCCTAGGACCCTTAAAGGGGTCAGCAATGTGTCACTTCCAGTCATTAGGAACTCTTACCCCATGGCCTGGGTGACTTCACCTATTTGAGAATGACTTTTGGCCCTATTTAGTGTCTGAACTTGGGGACTACTGCACAGCCACAGTACTAGTCTTCAAGATTTTGGTTATGTTGGACAATGCTTCTGACCTCCCTGCATTTCTGGATGGTATTTTTGCCATTGAATGCTATGTCGTTGCTACAAGCTATGGATCAAGGTGTTATTGCATCATATAAAGCCTAATATCTACATAGGGGAGGATGGTATAACCATAAAGGAGTTTTGGAAAGGGTACAATTTAAAAAGCCACCAAGAACTTTGCTGAATCAGGAATGAGGTCAAGCAAATAAATATGAATAGTGTATTGAAAAAACTTTGCTATCAATTTGTCAGTGATTTCATGGGGTTTGAGGAGACTATTGTCTTGGTAACTGTTGAAATGGGCATGCAACTGCAACTAGAAATGGAAGACGAAGATGTTTAACAGTTAGCGAATTCACAATCACAAGAGTTTAGGAATGAAGACTTGATGAAATTAGAAGTTTAAAAGTTCACAGATGAGGCTGAAAAAAAAAAAAGTTACTGAGGTTCAAGAACCCAAAAGATTCACTCCCAAGAAAATGGCAATGACAGTCAAGCATCTAGAGAATGGCTTAGTCCTCTTCCAACTTCCAAGTTCATGTAGATTTATAGGTGTGTGAACAATATTAGGAGATTTGTGATGGCTAGATGAGGACCTCCATATAAGTTTTCCTTGAAAAGTATTACAAAAAGGTTGAAAGGGAGCCACAGTCTGCATGAACTTTGTCACCATTACATGTACTGTCTCCAAATACAGTTCAGTAATATGTACCTCTTCAAAAAAAACTTTACCCTCGTTCCCTGCCTCATCATCACCTAAATATCAGCAACCCACCTTGGACGAAACACCCTTCCATTATGGAAGCAAGCACTAAGACTCAATAGAGAATGTAAGATTAAAACAACATATTATATATTTAATGTTAATCTATCTCATTTTATGCTTTAATTATTACACAACGGTATTTATTGCTAGTATTTAAACTACAATACAGTAATATCTCCGTTAGCCAGAATCCCTCAAACCCCAGATTTGAAATTTGCTTGGAAAATCATTCCCAAAGCTGGAATTTTCCAAAAATTAACGGCTTTAGAAACAAATTTTCCGAGGTTCAAAATCGAGAGAATTTTCTGAAAATGTCTTGAATAAAGATGAAAGTAATTTTTTTTTTGGGGGGGGGGAACTGACCTGATTCAATGTCAGGTGGAGGAAGGGTGGGGGATTAGTGGTCTCATATTACTGACCTTCTGATGGAATGTAAGGTCACCCTTTCTTGGATGGGGGATTAGTGGGTCTCATGACCTGAATCTTGAATAAACAGGAAACCTAAAGTATTTTGAGGGAGATTGTGGTAAGTATTAGTATAAATGATCAAAGTTGTATCCTTTCAACATTACATTACATGACATTTTAAAATATGGAGTGAGAAAGCAGAAAGGTGAAGGTGATTAGAGAGATCAAGTGGAAAGGAGTGACAACATGCACCAGTGTTGCTGAGCGATAAGCTCCTCAACAGCTGATCTTTTAATTCGCCTCCATGCAGTCACACAACAAAACCCTCACTGAATGCTTGTTGTCTTAATTCCTGTGTGTGTGTTTTTTTGAGCTTGCCAAGCACACTGTAGGATTTGACGAAGTTGATGAAGAGTTTGTTCAGGAGTCAGGTGGTGAAGTGACATGCGCCCGTATTATTAAACATCATCTTCCCTTGAAGAGGGTCGTCGTGTTTCAATCCGAGTTTTAAACTAAATGAGTCCTGAGAGACACCGCAGTACAGTACTTAACGGGG